AGGAAGGAAGGAAGGAAGGAAGGAAGGAAGGAAGGAAGGAAGGAAGGACGGGACAATAGCAATAGCACTTACATACCGCTTCATAGAGCTTTCCAGCCTTCTCTAAGTGGTTTACAGAGTCAGCCTCTTGCCCCCAACAATTTTGGTCCTCATTTTACCCACCTCAGAAGGATGGAAGGCTGAGTCAGCCTTGAACCTGGTGGGATTCGAACTGCCAAATTGCAGGCAGCTGGCAGTCAGCAGAAGTGGCCTGCAGTACTGCACTCTAACCACTGCGCCACCAAGGCATAAAGCACTGAAGCAGTATATAAGTCTAAGTGCTATTTGTCTCATAAATTCTTAAATGCGTTTCCCTTCCATTAGAGGCTGGTTGGCCACCGGCGGCCGAGATAAGATGGTCAAAGTCTGGGACATGAGCACCAACCGGGCCAAAGAGATCTACTGCGTGCAAACGATTGCCTCCGTAGCCCGGGTCAAGTGGAGGCCCGAGTGCAAGCACCACATCGCCACCTGCTCGATGATGGTGGACCACAACATCTACGTGTGGGACATCCGGCGGCCCTTCATCCCCTCCGCCATGTTCGAGGAGCACAAAGACGTCACCACGGGGATCGTCTGGCGCCACCTACACGACCCCTACTTCCTCCTCTCAGGATCCAAGGACAGCACCCTTTACCAGCACATCTTCAAGGATGCCAGCCAGCCGATCGAGCGGGCCAACCCGGAGGGCCTCTGCTACAGCCTCTTCGGAGACCTGGCATTCGCAGCCAAGGAGAGCCTCATTTCCTCCGACTCGAACCGGAAGCCCTACCTCGGCGACCGCCGCCATCCCATCTTCTTCAAGCGGAAGCTGGACCCCGCCGAGCAGTTTGAGTTCATCTCTTCCTCCAGCGCCCTCAGCGTCTTCGAGGCCGACGCAGGGTGCGACGCCAGCAGCATGGATTGGTTTGTGCGAACGGCCAGGCAGTACTTGCTGACCGGGCGGCCGCTGGCCGAGCTGTGTGACCACAACGCCAAAGTAGCCAAAGAGCTTAAGCGCAACCAGGTAAAGCTCCATCTCTTCATATAACAGATTAACCGAGTTGGAAGGGACCTTGTAGGTTGTCTAGTCCAACCCCACGCCCACCCAAGCAGGAGACCCTACCCCAATTCTGACAGATGGCAGTCCAAGCTCTTCTTAAAATATGTTTCAGTTCAGGACTTCATCCTCTTAGGGAGGACTTTCCCAACCTTAGGTGCAGACTTCAAGGGATAGTTAGGACTGCAGAAAAAACAATTGCAACCAGCCTGCCTTCCATTGAGGGTCCATATAATGCACAAACCAGAAAGAGGGCTGAGAAAATATCTAGAGACCCCTCATGCCCTGGACATAAAGTGTTTCAAGTCCTCCCCTCTGGTCATTACTATAGGGCATTGCTTGCCAAAACAGCTAGAGACAAAATAATTTTTCCCCTGTGCCAACACTCGGCTGAACACCTAATTCCCACAGCACTGTTTTAAAGATATTTACTCATGCAGTAAGGCTGTACTGCCGTTATCCTTCTCATCTTTCTCCTCGTTTCTCATCTTTTCTCACCTCTCCTTTCCTACTGTCATCTTCTTATTGGTATCTTATAATTTATCACTTTTTGTTTGTATCTTATGACTAATGATTGTAATTCTGCTTTCTGATCTATGACCTATCACTTCATTGTTCTGTGTGTATGTATACACTGAAAGCTTCTGTACTGGAGACAAATTCCTTGTGTGTCCAATCATAGTTGGCCATTAAAGCTATTCCATTCCGTTCCAGATTCTATTCTATTCTATTCTATTCTATTCTATTCTATTCTATTCTATTCTATTCTATTCTATTCTATTCTATTCTATTCTATTCTATTCTATTCTATTCCATTCCATTCCATCCCATCCCATCCCATCCCATCCCATTCCATTCCTTCTTTATTCTATCCATTCCATTCATTATTCCATTCCACTCATTCTCTATTCCATTCCATTCCTTATTCTATCCTATCCTATTTCTATTCCATTCCTTCTCTATTCTATTATATTCTATTCTATTCTATTCTACTCTACTCTACTCTACTCTACTCTACTCTACTCTACTCCACTCCACTCCACTCCACTCCACTCCACTCCACTCCACTCCACTCCATTTATTCTTTATTCCATTCCATTCCTTATCCTATCCTATCCTATCCTATCCTATCCTATCCTATCCTATCCTATCCTATCTTACTCTATTCTATCCCATCCCATTCTCCATTCCAGATAGATGGACTTCAACTCCCAGAATTCCTTTGCCAGCCTGGGAATTAAAATCCACCCATCTTAAAAGTGGCTGAGGTTGAGAGAGACTGCTAGAGGATTGGTTTACAGTCCTTCGATTGACAGACTTAGCTGGTGGTTTCTTAGCTTTTTCTGTTCTTTTTCTCCAGGTTGCTCAGACGTGGACAATGCTCCGGATTATTTATTCAAGCCCTAACACCGTCCCTGCCACGAACCTCAACCACAGCCTGGGGAAAAGTAGCTCGAGCCTTCCACTCATGAACAGGTAAAGAGAAGGGGAGGGGCCTGCCTTGTGGGGACATGTCCAGTCAAGGGTGACTTGGGGCAAATCCAGGTGAGACAAATCCCGGAGCCTTGTAGCCCCCACTTAGATCAGGAATCTGGGAGCTTAAGATCACCCATCTTAAAAGTGGTCAAGGTTGTGAAATGTTGCCCTAAAGGTTTTCTGGAACAACCAATCCGGGGCGGTCAGGAAATATCACAAAACGTTAAATCACATAATCCCGGCCCTAAATTCAAAGCTATTGCTGATTAGTCTGTATGTGTTTGTAATGATGATATCCCAATGCGGATGAGCCTTAGTTCTTGGTCATTTTTATATTAAATATGGAATATCATGAGGATTCTTGGCTGCCCCGTTATTTTTGATTTGGGTTGTTTTTGCTGTTTTTCTTCTGCTGGCTGCCCAGTCACGTATATAACATCGGTGGCCCTGCAAAATTATTGTTATAGTTCAGTGATGGCTAACCTTTTGTTGTGCACCCCGCCCCCTTGCCTGCACTGCACATGTGCGCACCCCAGAGCTG